TTTTATTGGACGTCATCTTGCATCGCTTCGCTTTCTAATCAATGAGTGTACGAATTATACTCATTATAAATCCATTCTTATATCTAACTTGATTCATTCCGTTATTCGCGAATGGGATCCTAGTCACTATTTTTGTACGAGGATTCGTGTCATGTATATTTCAGTAACAATCAATCTACGATATAAATGGAATCAGATAATGGGTTAATAAAACTCCATAAGCGAAATTCAAATCCAAGAAGTTCGGCCTCGTGTGTGAACGTCTAGCCTTTAGATTAGTGAACAAACATTCAGAGGTGTGAATGTCTAAATTCAATGAATTCGCGGAATTGCGCTACCATCTTTATTGTCATTTTACGTCTATGTCGTGTTTATATTTGAAATCTGATTTGGACAACCAAAGTATTCAAGAACACTAGACAATAAAATAATATCAGCTCGAAGAGGGAGAATTAATATTTGTACCAGTCAGACGTTGTTTACCTTTCGGGAGACTCGCTTACTCTAGGTCATTAAGAGTCAAATACTCAAGTTTGTACTCATTGGGATATGACTTTAATGAACAAGAACACCAGTGAGAACAGTCGAATGTAGATGACACGAAATTACAGCGCATCTCACTAAAATCTCAGTCCATTGTCTTAGATTTCATTGTTCATGCATTTTTGTACCGAATACCTTACATTCGTGTTCTTTATTTCATGTTCCTCTACTGAAACACATTCTATACCTGACAACCATTATATACTACTTATGTGGATATTGAACTTGTACAACACTGACAATAGCTGTGTTAGAGTTTTGTTCTCTGAGCTGGATTGTTTGGTCGTGGAACTTTCGTCGTTCCTCTGAACAACATCAGCAGCACAAACCTTCAGATAGAAGTAAACAATGACAAGTTTAAGGTAAACAAGAACCAATCAACATCGAGGTGTACAAGACAAGCTGTGAAACACATATTGAAAAATTCGAACACTTCACTTCTATCTGAAGTTCGTGCTGATGATATCGTTCAGAAGAACGATGAAAGCCCCACGACTAAACCATCCAGCTCAGAGAACAAAACTCCATCAAAATCATCCACCTGAGCTACAAATCATCTCCACTATCTCACTGACGATGGCTTTTGAATTTTCAACACATTAATTAACCGGACTTTTGTCTAATTGAGAGGATGGTTTATCGAGTTAAGCACTCATTTAAAAATGGTTTTTCTCATCTTTGATAATACGAAGAGCTAAAACTCGGACAAAATAAGGTTTTTCTGACTATCTCTCCAGTACTTCAGTGATGACATGATTCGGATTAGTTCAATGTAAACAGAGGAAATGTAACGGATGCTTATTGTTTTTTCGATCCAAACAACATCGTTTAAAATTAAACATTCAGTGTAAAGTCACTTTATTAACTACATACAGCTACCACTTACCCTGTTGTTAGGAGTGAAGAGATTATCAGCAACATTTGGACCTAAAACACTCATTTTGTCTTCATTCGAACTTGCAGCAGAATATAACTATGCTCGGTAACTCAATGGTTAACTCATTGATCGTTTGCAATGAACAGCAGTGGAATAGAAACCTATTGCCAATACCAAAACTAGGATGCAAGTATATCCAGCTAACGAGTCCTGAATTTAATAGGATGTGTGACATGAACTTCACTGACATATACAACACATCTATTCTGTTAAACTTGTGACAAAATGACTATATCAAAGCAATCCACAATGCATCAAAATATAATAGCAAAAACTGATCAAACGTCAATACTGAATATAAATATAATCTAGCAGACGAGCCCCAAATGGGAAAAAAATCGAGTTCTGAGTTCCACTGCTAACCATTATCCACCTTTGCATATAAAGCTTGTGACTTTAGGCAATATCAAGACAGTTCTTACAGGATGCACAGTTATTGATAAATACACTCTTCTTCAAGTACAGATAAATATTCCCAATAAAGATTTGACAATAATCGAACGATAGTGTCACGCTGGTCCGATCAGGTAGGTGGAACAACGTTCAGTCTAGTGATCTATACACTGAATCCACTATCTGACTTCTGCCTATCTGAAATAGAAGCCATAACCTTTAGATGTTTATGTTGACAACACTACAATTTTCACCTATCCTACATGTTGATCTGTTTTGCTTCTTCGTCTTCCAGGATTTTCATTGGATCAAAGTAATAGTCCAGTCAAAATTCAGAGCATGTCAACTTTAAGCCAACAACGTAAACTAGTTGAACAACTACGTCAAAAAGCAAATTTAAATCGTCGTCCTGTTTCTGAATGTGTGCAGGAAATGATTGTGTATATGGAGCAGAATCGAGACAAAGATTGTCTAGTTTCAGGATTTGCGAGTAAGAAAGATAATCCATTCCAAGAAAAAGGTGGATGCGTTGTGATTTAGGCAATTTTATAAACGGATGATAAAACAAACAACTTAGACTCAATATTCAATTATTCCTATGCTCCCTACTTCTTTGCTTACCTAACGAACACTTCTATTTCCTGAAGAAAGTAGGGAAACTAGTTTAATTGAATTTATTTGACATTTAAACTTTGTTGTTTTATTCTTATAGCTTCATTTGATTTTTGTGTACATGGACAAGCGTTCATAAGTAAATTTGTTTAATTATGCTTTTATGTGAATACTGGGGGTACTCTTATTTCATCTATCTTTTGTAATATCTCTGTTGTTACTATCTATGATTGTAGACACTTTGATCCAAATAACAATGAACTTTAGATAACAAACGGATACTTTGAAAGCAAACTTGTTGTCTATCCGTGTTCGTCTTACAATGACGTTGATTGACTACTTCATTCAGAGGAACACCCAATTACAGTGAGCTATTCACCAAACCTTCGAATCACTCTAATAGTGATATTAGTTTGCTGAATAATTGTTGATAGGGATCAGGACTGAAAATTAAGTTATAGAGTCAGTAGCGACAGTTAGGAATCGTGTACGGAAGAATGTCTGATCAACACGATGATAGATATATGTACAGTTAGTTGTATGATTTCATGTGCTAAAATCCCTTAAATTGTCTTCATAAATCCATTATGTTCTAGTTTGGTAAATACCTGAAATGGATTTGTTTGTGTTTCCTTTTACATCGCAAAGTAATCACTCTCTCATTGTTATTTTAAGAAAAGTCCAAGTTAGTCCCTTATTTCAGAATAATGGTAGGTTCTACCTCTTTCTTACTTAGCTTTTCGCATGAAATAAGCAGTCCATCACTGCACCTTGACTCTCGCTCAGAACTCCACGACACTAGCTTAAATCTTGTCTATTAGTCAGAGTTGTATTTTTTCGCTTAACTGATTTGTTCTAACTTAAAATTTCTCCAAACTGGTGCCTATAACCCCTTAATGTCAGTAGATATTCAGGAAAGCCAGTTTGAATCTTACTGGAATAAATTATCACTTGGTTCAGGATTGTTGAAACATTTCATTAATCAAAACCAAGTGACATGAAAGTCTGGGTCAACGTGAACATCGAAACGACTAGTTACTGCCACCTAACATCAAATAAGGATTTATAATGATCAACCGAAATTTTCAGACTAATATGATGAAAATGATGAATGCACATTTCCTTTCATCAATAGGCTTGTCTGGAACTAAAGTTTGAATGATAAACAGTAAAATCGGACTCTTGTATTGTTGAATATCAGATAGATTAAACTTCTTTGATAATATCGATCAAACAAGAGTAGCATTGTCAGTGTTAAATTTGAAGATACAACAGATGACTAGTCATCATTCACTGGATTTCATTTATTTCAAGCTGCGATTTTTCACTGGTGATTTCTGTTTTGGTTTCAACAAACTATTTCTGAAACTTGTGTGGTTATTATTTCTACAATCGATGTTGTTTGAATGATTTTCTTCTTGCTTTTCTAATTCTCATATCTACATGTCGAATAATTTATGGCGCTACACATACGAAACTAACTTCAGAAAAATCAATATGTACGATCTTCGAAAGTGGTAATGATAAAATGTTGAGAATAGTTGATGGGTATAGGGAGTTCAAACAGCACTTCCAAACCCACGAAAAGAATCCTACATTTATTTAATATTCTTCCTCGAAACATTTCAAGCTCGTAGAAAATTCCATAAAAATATCATCCGGAGAATGGGAGTTTACTCTAAACATACAGTATACCATCCAGTTTTGTCAAAAATGTTTCTTGGAATTGATATACATTTCATCATTTAGAAGTTACAGTCAATTCGGGATCGTGAATGCCCATTGCTGAGCAGTCCCACACCAGGACGAAACGGTCACCCATTGTTTCTAGGTTTCCCATGATGGTGTAGCTTCAATTGACTCATGACCTCAACTATTAAATTACAATAATATCCACAAAAACCCCTTTCTAATAATTTACTGTAAATCAAATGCATCAAAAAGTGTCTAGCTATACATTGTAGTGCCACTTATACATATGTAGCAGTCAGTCATATACAATGTAGAGCCTGACACAAGTGTACATCGGTCCACGTCACCACATCCCATTAGCAAACAGTAAGATGAAATCGTTGGGGCAAATCCTAGAGTGGTACTGATAGTAACAATATTGGTGATAATACAAAAGATTAGGAAATGAAAAAATGTATATAGTAATTTTGTAACTTCGGTTCTAACGTAAAATAAAATAGTCCGACTAAGGTGTTTTTCTGATTAGAGATTTGAGCGAAATGGGAATTTGAACGACTTATCAACAGTGTGAAGGAATACAAAGTTGGTATATTGATGGACCAGAACTTATTGGTCTCTGTTTTTGATATGACTTTTGTCTAACATTAACATCAAGTGAGAATCAGAACATGGATTTCGTCCGTTTCGGGATACATCGGATGGAGTTGGTTAGATGGTCAATTCACAAAGATACAGTGAGTGTGTGAAAGTTATTATAAATAAAATAACAATTTATCAAAGTATCATATATCAAGGCAGAACCAAACATGCTTGAAGGGAAAACTTACTTCTCTGAAGTATTAAACATCATTTGATTTTGTAAATAATCAGATAATAAATTTCCTCGTTTACCATGTTGACTTTGAAGTTTAGATTCAGTGAGTGCAAGAATTTCCGCTGGTTTTAATGTTGAAATTGTTCGTTCATGTACTCGTAACGGGTCGAAACTGATCACATTACGCATAATAAATGATTTCTGATCCTCAGATAAACTGACTAGTTGGCCTAAATGAACGAGTATACCATTTTTATGCGTTACAACTCGAATAAATGGACATGAATTCTTTTCTTGACTGTCATTCATTGAATTTTCTCTGTTTGAACTGAATATACTAGCGGCCATTTGTGAAATACTCACACATTTTGATGACAGTCCTGTATAACTTGAGATATGTGACGGTATTTGTTAAGTTGTAGCGTGACTTGGAGTCGCGGTTGACTATAAACACCACTACAAAAAAAATTCGTGCCAATTAACCAATAAGATCCATGTAGGCCAATATCAGAAGGCAGATGATGGCTGTAGTCGAGATGTATTTGTTGGCGATCTCGTGGTATCGAAAGAATGCCGAGATCGTGTCAATGGAGTACAAGCGTGGTTACTGAACGTAACCGAATTCGTACAAGTTCAAAGTCAACGGGAGAGTAAGTAAGTATAATGGCTGTCATTAGCACAGTTAAACAAACGAGCACAGTAAAACAGTCACTGGTACAATTGGTTATAATAATAATTGTTTTCATTGAACCAATCGCGTTCTGTTGACAAAAGTAGGTCACTACAGCAGCTCCCCTCTAGAAAGGGTTTACACTTTAGATAGGTAGCGGTTTGATTCGTGGGACTGATCGGCAGAAATGCGGTTGTAGGACGGAGGAAATTGGCGGAACAGGAAGTGATCGTTGATCGTCGAGTTGCCAACGAAAGTCTTTTGAGCAGAACAGTACCAGGAGAAGTGTGCAGTATTTGTCGCTCGAGTTAGCGTTCCACACCAGAGTGGTTTGTATCCAGGATCTGATGATTGCGTTCGTTGGGTTGCGAACCAGAAAACGCTACAGACGTAGGAGGAAACCACGTTGAGCCATGAAACCGGAAGCGACCATAACGACCAAGCGTATGCCAGGTGGATTCAAAATCAGATTATCGACTGAGTGTGTTGACAAGAGCGTGGGTGATCAGGCCAGCTTTCGTCAAATTTGACTGAAGTCGACGTTAGCAAACGGGAGTTGGTCGGAGGCGTGGGCTCAGGATACAAATAGAAATTTAAAAAAGAATAGTGTAGCATGCGTGTAGTATATGAATAGTTCTACACCTTATCCGTTGTTGACTGTGCGTTTAGTCGCGGGTAATCGTACTCGGCGACCGGAACGTGAGACGGTAGTCACGTTCGTACTTCGTGAGCCTGCAATGGCTGAAATTAGCACAGTTAAACAAACGAGTACAGTAAGACAATCACTGGTACAATTGGTTATTGTTTTCATTGAACCAATCGCGTTCTTTTGACAAAAGTAAGTCACTACAAAGTCTTAAGTTTGAGTAGATTTATTCTACTTGGGTAGTGAATAAAGTGGTAGTTTCAGAGCATATAAAGCCAGGACCAGTTTTAAAATTTCATGGGACATATTCATTTCAATCGAAAGAGAATTGAGTGACTGCTCATCAATCAAAGTGATTTGATGCTGTTGGTTTCTAGTATTTATTACATGATTGATTGTTTTTTGCATAGTCTGTGTCTCTTCAATGGATGTTGTGGAGATTTCATTCATTTGTCAGAAGAAAAAGAGTTGTGCACATGCCAAATCACGGGTTTCGACAGAGTTGATTAACCACAATTTACAAGATAATTGATTTCCTTGTGAGATTTTGCAAGTAATCACTGTAACTAGCATTGTTCATTATCGAAAAACACTAATGATATCTATGCTGGCACTAACGAGTGACTGTGTGAAGTACTTCTGCAAGGCACAACTGCAATAATGAACTGAAATTAGTATTATTGAGTTATTCAAATCGGGGTATCTAGTGTCATAATCTTAGGGAAACAGTCAAGCAATTATTTAAGCCTCGATATATCTATAGGGGATTAGAGTTATTTCAATGATTAAGATCATGAGTAAGTTGAAGCTAGACCACCATGGAAAACCTGAAGTTACTCAAATATATTGATCGAAATTTATAAGTAAAGAAACGGTGTTGTATAAGCGGGCCAAATATATCTGTATAAATCGTAATAAGTCAGTTAAACAACTTCGAATTCAAACGTAATTTAAACAGACCTTATAAACTAAGTACCAGGATCGTATGTGTATTTAACATGAAGGCAAAAGTATTAAGAATGAGTATTTGCGAAATTCCAATCGGAAAGTCAAGAATCTTAATTATTTGTACCCAGCATTCATTATTGGTTGACCTTAACTTGAGTACCGCCATAAATCAGGGAGCATTAGACGGTCATATCATCCTAGGATGTGACTTCTAACCAGTTGACAATCCATGACCCCACCAGAGATCAAACCTAAATTCTTCAAGTCATACAAGGAACGTGTAGCTGTTAGTTAGCACTGCTAAGCAATGTTTCTATCACTACATCAACTCATGAGTTCAATTAATAAATAAGATGATAACAGAATACAATCATGTAAATAAGAAACTTAATAAAATAAGAAATTACCCACTTTGATTGTTCCAATTTTTGAGTAGAACAGATATACCAAAACACTAGAACAACAGAAGTTGTATAAGGTTCTTTGTAATACAAACTAACTGTCAATGTAATCATACAACTATTATGTAACAAATCAATGAATAGTATTCATCTATAATACTTGATCTTTGACCCCCATTTCAAGGAATCAATAATTTGATTGACAAAAATGCATCCAAGTAAATACCAATCAATTGAATACAATTTATTCATGATCAAATTGAATTGAATCAATCTGAGTGAAGTAGTTATATTGAGGGGAAAAACTAAACAATACAAGTTACTTTAATAGTTGAATACATGTGTCAAATGAAGCTAAACCACCATGTAAAATCTGGAGTCACTGAACGGCCGTTTTGTCTTAGTGACGGTTTTCAATAGGTATGTTCTAGAGTTCTAAGGAGAAGCCGTGACCTGTGGAGTTCAACCAGGTCTGTTTTGAGATAGTAGCTCATTGAAGACAATGGTGGACGGTGGTGAAATTTCGTGGATTGGTTGAAGTTAGACATTAACAAAACAAGTTACCATTGTCATCACAAAATTGATTACAAACAAATTTCATTGAAGTCATAAACCAACCATCATTAGATAACCTAGAACCACTGGAAGGCTGTTTCGTCTTTGTGTAGGACTCCTTGAAAGTGCGTTATGATGACTTCGCTATTAGGAACCTAACCAAAGACCTCCGGTCTTAAACATGAACTCTCAATCTCTAGACCACTGAGCCAGAATATAATGATCTTAATGTTTGTCATAAATTAATACACGACATTGCGCGACCATGTTTCATTGTCTTTGATAGGTGACTACCGCACATCCGACACGGTTTCTATAAAAAAATATTTTCTTAATTTAAATAAGTGTTGTCGTGTGTGTAAATTGCGGAATCATTACTGGAGACCGTCTGAAGGCATCATCCACACAAACTTCAGATAGAAATAAACAATAACAAGTTTAAGGTAAACAAGAACCAATCAACATCGAGGTGTACAAGACAAGCTGTGAAAAACATATGGAAAATCTCGAACACTGCACTTCTATCTGAACTTTGTGTTGGTGATGTCGTTCAGAAGAACGATGAAAGCCCCACGACTAAACCATCCAGCTCAGAGAACAAAACTCCATCAAAAAGATTTTCTGCTGTCTGTATATGACAGTTTTTTAAGACAACATTATTACTTTATAAGCTACTTTAAAATTTAGAATGATACCGACTTCTATGAACATTCTGTATTCAATGTTGATGCAGAATATTCAGAGATGTGATGTATGGTACTTATATTTCTCGATATAAGTAGTATGTAACACTAGTCGGAATGTTTACGGAGAGAAAGTTGACAGGATTTGAAAGAAGAGAAGAGAGGAGAAATCCGAAAGTAATCAAGAAAATAACAGGAATGAAGGAAAAATGATGCTTGAAAGAGACGATTCAAAGAAGATATGCAAATGATGTGATCGATGTGTGATTTTCACATTTTAGACAGTTGAAACAACAGATGTTTAGATCAAAAAGCCGGAGCTGCGCGTTCAGAAGAAGTATGTTCCACGGCAAATTTTACTGTGGTCAACTTCTTGATTAATAATTGAATGATCATTAGGTGTGATATGGTGACATCATTCGATTATTGTTCATACAATCTTCTTCTTTGCATTTTCATAGCTTGAACTCATTCACACACCTTTTCATTATTACTATTGAAGCATATGGTATGCCTTAGGAAATTTATTCAACATTCTTCCCCCTTGCCCATCAGTTTACCAGTTTGTACCTAATTCATATTATTTTACATGGTACATAACTTCTGACCTAGTATGGTACTCAGTATTGCACATCCACAACCCAACACTTGGGATTCGTACTCAGAAATCTTCGTAACATCTTAAAATGTCATTCTTAAGCACTGAGATTTGGTTATTAAATTCTTGAGCAGCTCCAAGTAAGATTGTATTTAGGCCTAATATTGGAAACCAAAATTAGTTAATTACATCAAGTGGCTTATGCTGAAAAGTGAGTTTCGTGTCTACCGACTGAACGTTTGAAATATCATAAATTGACATTTTCAGAAAAACAAATTTTATTCATTGCCTCCATAGTTCATCAATAATAATTAAACTCATGTGAACAACTAATGCATTTCACAATGAGTTCTGAGTTGATTAATTTGTAACCACCATAACAACGAGTCACATAATTTAGAATGTCCAACGTTGCTTAGACTTAGGCAGTTTTATTTTGAATAGTGTTTGTATAAAGGATAAACATGAGCTGGGATCTGTTCACTAACAGTTTACACCTTATTATTCTTTGGTTTGATTATCCCTTCAACTATAAATATACACGCATTAACTCTGGACTTGATCATTTATGTTGAAGTAGAATTCAACTTAGTTTAAATGTTTGCTCAAAATATGAAATAGACCATTGTTTACATTCACTGCTACAATCCAATATAAGGAAAAACCCAGCTGCAATATTCAATGTTCCATGTAGAAAGTATGAATTAACATTTAAGTAAATTTTTGAGACTCTACATACACCTATGATTACATGCCATTCCATCAGTGAAATTATAGGGATATTAAATTTTCTCATTATTGTTTCTAATGTGTATAAGCACCTTCGTCAACTATTTCGCCCCGACAC